CCACTATTAAGTCTTATATAACACTTAACAGTGTTGTTATATGACACCATGCAGTGTTGAAAGAAGTTTTCTGAAAAGCCCCGCCCTCTTCCACCTCATGTCAGACAGATCAGTATTTACCCAGCATTCCTTGCTGAGAAATCTTGCAGAAATGCTGTTTTTGCATGTTTATGACCATTAAAGAAGCTCATGAGAGTAAAAATCATTTGTTCTGGTTAGTTTTCTTGTTCAGTTTGATCAAGTTGTTCAACTTTAAGTTTATTTTACTGGCCAAAAATTGACACCATGAGTGAGAGGTATGTCCTGGTGTTTGAAGAGTGACTCCATTATACTTTACCATTGAGTGTTGATGAAACACTTCAAAGAGTTGATATTAACTCTGAGTGTTAAATTTACACTCTCAATTTGATGGTGTGTTGACACCTTGTAGAGTCTGTTAACCTTTCAAACACCATAATTTCTTCTGTTAATAATAATACAATGGTGATACTTTTAAAACTGTATTTTAACACTGATGAAATTTTAATGACACCCAGTATTGTTGGACATTAAACACTGGTTGGTGTTACATTTAACACTATATTTTAACACTAACACTATTTTTATGTTAACGTGACACCAAGAATTGCTGAATATTAAACACTGGTTGGTGTTAAATTTTAACACTTTCATAAATGTTTTTTTAACACCAGCGAGTGTGGACATATATAGACACTTTTTTGGCATTAAAATTAACACTGTATGTGTTAAATTAACACTGGCAATTTTTTCTGCTGTGTATAAGCTTTAGGTAGCACACCAAAAAAAAAAAACCTTAATTCAGTAAATTCAAAATATCTTTTTGATGAATATCTGAGTGTCCATAATTTCTGCGTCATTGAAAATCAAACAACAGCAGAGCCTTTTCAAATCAAAAATAGTATTTTTACTTACTTTAAACACTAGTTTGTTGTCAGAACTACAGTGATTATAGGCAAACTTGAAATGAAGAACTTTCAGAGTGATTTGTTTTGACAGTGTGATATAAACCTTTTTAAGCAAATAAGTTTTATAAATGATTGTGGAATAAATCTTAGCGTTGTGCTGCTGGTCCATCTGACATTGACTACCGTGAACCTGTGGGTTGCAGACAGATTGGCGTCTTCAGCAGACTGTCCACCTTGAACCGAGCAAACATTAAAGCCTCTGCCAGGGTTCGACCTCTTTAAGGCCCACAGAGGAGAAAACAGTTTCTTTCTCTCTGCAGCTGTGAAAATGTCAGCTGTGGTGAAGGAAAGAAAGTGCAGGTGGATTAAGTTTCCACTGTGTGCTGACTCACACAGTCTGTAGAATTTATTGAAAACCTTTTTTTTTTTTTTTTTTGCATTTCTTTTGACCCAGAAGTGTCTGATCAGGATGAACACGACAGCATGTTATATAATTCAAACACACGGGACAAAGTTTAACCATCCAGCTGTCAACAATCTTTTCCAAATAATTCAGAGGTGGTTTGATTGGGCTGATAAATAAAAAACACAGCTCATGTGCCAGCAGCTGGAGACAGGAGGACAACATTGATAAATTTGTTCTGATGTTACTTTCATACAGACAGGGCTGAGAAATCAACAGACTGTGATTGGACATGGATGACGGGGAGGAGAAAATCAGACGCCACTGGTGGTAAATTATTAGAAACTCTTCAACAGCAAACACACACACAACTACTTTCCCATTGTGTTTGTTTGCCATCAGTGTTAAACACTGATTACTGAGCCTGTGTGAGATTATGACCTGTAATCTCTCCTGTTGCATGACTTCAGTAATTACATGTTTACGACTTACAGCCAGCAGGCAGTTCTTAAGAACTAATGATTGGTTCCCACGCTGCAATTTATGAGCAGTTTTACATTTTATTTACCTTTAGGGTTCAGATGCAAAGCAGGAGTTGACTCGATTAATGGGACGTGCACAACACGGGAAGTAGCTAAATTTAATCAAACTATTGTAAATCTGCTAAATAAAACAGTTGACGTGACAATGGTGAGCGCTCTTGGAAAAACCGGTTTGATATTTAAAAGATTTAAAACCTTGAAAGTTCCAGAGCACCTTTCTTACGTGGGGTTGATGTGGTTGCACGCAGTTTAAGGTCAAGAATTTACCAATGAGTTTCTTCTCAGACAAGATGCAAATAGTTCAGTTTTTCCAGAGAAATCGTTACTCAGCTCCGATGTGCGCAGACTTGTCACATTCAGTAAAATGGTCTTTTTTGGTTGATTGAAATAACTCAAGATCAGAAAAGTTAAGTTAAACGTTTGAATAAACGGTTCCTCAGAATAGAAGCATCACAAGGTGATTTGAAGAAAATAATGCACAGTGGTGCACACAGGGCTGTTAAATACAGTAACATAAATGGTTAGCTTATTATGTAATTAACCAATCAGTTACATTATAAAAAGAAGCTAACGCTGTGTCATGTCCAAGGTTTTGCAGGTCAGGCCATGGTTTTGTTCTTTTAGGGGTTGTAACAGCAGATCACTGTAGTCCTCCTCCGTCAAACCAATCTTCTGCCACATCCTCTTTC